GAACTTATCTTCAACGTCTGGAAAAATACGTATTTTAGATGTCTTTTCAACTTCATTTTGCTTACTGGGATTATTCTTGTAGTGGCAGACATTTTTTGTTGTCGCCAAGGGGGGCAGAGCGGCCAGGATTGTCCCTGAATACTAGTATCCCCATAATGTACAAATCTAAAACCCTCACAAACTTTTACAGATGCACAATTGAGAGCATCCTGTCGGGCTGTATCACTGCCTGGTATGGCAACTGCACCGCCCACAACCGCAGGGCTCTCCAGAGGGTGGTGTGGTCTGCCGAACGCATTACCAGGGGCAAACTACCCGCCCTCCAAGACACATACAGCACCCGATGTCACAGGAAGGCCAAAAAGATCATCAAGGACATCAACCACCCGAGCCACTGCCTGTTCACCCCGCTATCATCCAGAAGGCGAGGTCAGTACAGGTGCATCAAAGCTGGGACCGAGAGATTGAAAAACAGCTTATATCTCAAGGCCATCAGACTGTTAAATAGCTATCACTAGCACATTAGAGGCTGCTGCTGCCTATTGAAATCACTGGCCACTTTAAGAAATGGAACACTAATCACTTTAATAATGTTTACATATCTTGCACTACTCATCTCATATGTATATACTGCATTCTATTCTATAATATTCTACTGTATCTTAGTCAATGCCGCTCTGTCATTGCTGTCATTGCTTGTCCATATGTATATATTCTTAAATCCCATTCCTTACTAGTTTTGTGTGTATTGGGTATATGTTGTGAAATTGTTAGATATTACTTGTTAGATATTACTGCACTGTCAGAGATAGAAGCACAAGCATTTCGCTACACCCGCTATAACATCTGCTAAACACGTGTATGTGACAAATAACATTTGATTTGATTTGATTTGATCTAAAACATCTTTAGTAGCACTGTATTCAATTGAAAATGCAGTGGTGTTCACATAACCTAAACTATAAACTAAACTATGTTAAGAATACTTTAACTTTTAAGGTAACATTGGCTGAGATAATGGATGGGCTGGACATGCCGGGAGATGAGTTTGGTTTGGTCTGCCATGTAGCATGCTTCTGTCTATAACGTGAGCTGCTCAGTATGTGTTGATAGTCCTTTCTACCGCAGCGTTTTTGAAAGACAACTTTGGCCATCGAGAACTAGAAAAGTTTTGCTACTTTTCTCAACAACATTGATGCCCTGAATTTAGCAGGTGCTATCGACAGATCAGTTGGAAAAATATGTGATGGGCTACTTTCTGCACACGCCACGGTCAGTGTGAACCAGAGTGACTTGACACAATGCTGGCCAAACAAGATGTAACTAGAAACAAATCGGAGTTAAATGGTTCCAGTCTGCCGTGAAGCGTTCATCCATGTATACTGGTAAGGGTCTAGCTACATTTTCTAATTTTGTCAGAAAGTCGTTTTCATTGCAAGTTAAAGCATACTGTTAGCTAGCTAGCAAACGTTAGCTTGCTGGCTCGCTAGCTAACGTTACGTGTATGATCTGTGTAGTAATATTATTCGAATCAGAAATTCATTTGCATTGCTAGTTATAGCCTAATGTTAGCTAGCTAACATTTAACCTAGTTGGTTAGCTTTAGCTACCTGCAGATTCAGACTACAGCTATGAAAATGTTTGTAGTGGTTGTAGTATGAGTTGGGATTATGCCGGTTCATTATTTAGCTAGCTAGCTACATGTCTAAACAAAAGACTCCACTTCGCCAGATGATCACCTATCAAGTTAGCCAGGTGTGACTGGGGGTGATTACAGCCATCTATTGTATTTCATGAACATGTTTACATGTCTAGACAATAGTGACCCATCCACTTAGCTAGATGTGGCTGTAGGGTGGTTACACATGACCCATCAATTTAGACATGTGTGTCCGGGTAAGCGTCATCTAATAATTATAAAATATTTATAAAATATTTTTATCTGGACACTTTCTGTTTTTGATATTGCAAGTAACCATTTCACTGTACCGTTTACACCTTCTGTATACTGTGCATGTGACAAATAAACATAGATTTTATTTGATATAGTGTGTGTTTAGCAGAGATAGTAATGTGAAGAACAACATGACCTGCACCAAAGTCAGATTAGGATATAGGCCAAGGACTAAAGTCTATTTTTACCTGGAGTTTTTCTTTATTGTAGGCTACTACTTTTACCACTTTTAGTCTAGAAATCTTTGGTTGTTTACTACACTACTCACTCTGTGTAGCACATGGCCTCACATATGAATCCTTAAAGAGATGGGTGAGGCTTAAGAGGGTGTGAACGATGTTGAATGGGTGTAGACCAGGGGTGTCAAACGTACGGCCCGCGGGCCGGATCAGGCCCGCAAACGGGTTTAATCCGGCCCGCGAGATGATTTTGAAAAAATAAATAATAATAATAATTTTTGTAAAGTATAAAAATGCGCTGCAATTTTTCTATAAAATAAACTGCTGTTCCAATTGCGTCCACTGGATGGCGCAATAGCAATTGTGTTAAGCAAGCAAACTGTTTATACCGGGGCAGAGCAAGTAGGTCAAGCACGTGCAGCCAATGAGCTACTTTGTTTTGCCCGCGATATTTATTACGGCTTCTACTTTTAACATTATGTGCTTTGGCACCCTCATTGCCCCAATATGTCTCTGTCAAAAAAGAGAAAAGTGGACGCAGAGTGCAGAGTGTTCCAAGAAAAATGGTCATCCTATTTAATCACGGAATTGAATGGGAAAGCTGTATGTTTGGTGTGTTCAGAGCATGTTGCAGTGCTGAAAGAATATAACCTTCGTCGCCACTATGTGAGTCTTCATGCCGACAAATATGACAACTTTCAAGGACAGCGGAGATGAGAGAAGGTGAATGAACTGTTGGCGGGTCTGAAGAAACAGCAGTCTGTGTTTACTCACAGCCGAGACATCAGTGACGCTGCAGTGAAAGCTAGCTACCTCATTGCTAATGAAATCGCAGTGGCTTCAAAACCATTTAGTGAGGGTGAATTTGTAAAAACATGCATGATGAAGGCAGCGGAGATTGTGTGCCCTGAAAAGCGGCAGGCTTTTGCAAATATCAGCCTGACAAGAAACACAGTTGCAGACAGGATTTCCGATCTTTCAGTGGATTTGGACAGCCAGTTGAAGCAAAAAGTAAAGTCATTTATTGCGTTTTCGGTTGCAATTGATGAAAGCACGGACATTACAGATGTTGCACAACTGGCCATTTTTTCATCCGCGGAGTTGATGACACATTGACCGTCACCGAGGAGTTCGTGGAGTTGGTGCCGATGACAGATACAACGACAGCAGCTGATATTTTTACCGCACTCGTCGGCGCGCTGGACAGGGTCGGAGTGGACTGGTCCCGCGCTGTCAGCCTGGCTACAGATGGTGCGCCCTCAATGATCGGGAAAAAAGCAGGCGTTGTGACAAAGTTCAGAGAGAAAGTGCAATCTGCAAATGGAGGACGTGATTTTTTGACTTTTCACTGTATTTTGCACCAGGAGGCTTTGTGTTGCAAGTCATTAAAGATGGATAACGTCATGAAGGTGGTCATCCAAACTGTTAATTTCATCCGATCCAGAAGCCTGAATCACCGTCAGTTTGACAGCCTTCTCAGAGAGAAAGACCACATCTATGGCCTGCCATACCACACTGAGGTAAGATGGTTAAGCCGAGGTGCTGTGCTGAGGCGTTTCTTTGATTTACGAGAAGAAATTGAACAGTTCATGGAAGAAAAGGGCAAACCAGTGTTAGAATTTCATTCCGCAGAATGGATGCCGGACCTTGCATTTATGGTGGATGATACAGAGCACCTGAATAACTTGAACAAACAGCTGCAAGGGCGCAACAAAGTTGTCACGCAGTATTATGACAGCATACGTTCTTTCAAGTTGAAGCTGTCATTGTGGGAGACGCAACTTGCCGGTGGTGATGCAGCTCACTTCCCCTGTCTGAAAAATGTGTGCGCGACCCAACATGTGGCAGACATGAAGCGGTTCAAAGATAAAATAACGGGACTCTTACGGGAGTTTGAGCAACGCTTTCAGATTTATGTTCATATGTTTTTATGTTGATGTGCTATTGTTTTTAATTGTTTTTATTTTATTTGTATATTTAACCTATTCTTGACTCTGTGGTTCTTGCACTTGTTTGGGGAACAGGATTTCATTATTTTTATCTACATTTCTGCCTGAGAAATGACACCCTGATATAGTTCTGTGATCTGTGATATACTTCTGTGAATCACTGAGGCATTGTGTGTTTGTGTGTTCTTTGTCCTCAGAACTTTCAAATAACTTGAGGTGTTTTATGATTAATAGTGATGTTGTGCTTTTGGACACTGTCCTCAGGCTCCAGCTTTATGTTTATATGTTGATGTGCTATTGTTTTTAATTGTTTTTATTTTATTTGTATATTTAACCTATTCTTGACTCTGTGGTTCTTGCACTTGTTTGGGGAACAGGATTTCATTATTTTTATCTACATTTCTGCCTGAGAAATGACACCCTGATATAGTTCTGTGATCTGTGAAACAGTTCTGTTAATCACTGAGGCATTGTGTGTTTGTGTGTTCTTTTTCTTTAGAATTTTCAAATAAACTTGACGTGTTTTATGATTAATAGTGATGTTGTGCTTGTACTATTTTGGACACACTGTCCTCAGGCTCCAGCTTTATGTTGTATGTTGATCGTATTAAAACAAAGAAAACAATCTGAAGTTGTTGTTTTTAAGTTATATATACCATGATTTTTCCGGTCCGGCCCACTTGGGAATAGATTTTCCTCCATGTGGCCCCTGAGCTAAAATGAGTTTGACACCCCTGGTGTAGACAAAGAAGAGCTCTCCAGTAGGTGTACCAAAACATTCATGGGCCATTTTCTCAAAAGTAGGGTTAGAGGTTTATCAACATTCAAAGCAGAATTACTTTTCCATTGTTCCTCAGCTGCAGTGTATGATATACCATTTTGTAGCTCTGAGTCTCTACTTTTATCCAATGTAAAAAACACAATTTCAAATGTTGCTACATAGGACCGAATCCAGGTGGTGGGTCACAAATTGAAACGACAAGCTTTTGTGTCAAATTATACCGCAATATACTGCAAATCATAAATCAGCATGTCAACGTAGGTATTTTATGATTAATCGCATAAGCGCTGTAGTTATTTCATATGAACTTCTCTTAAACTAGCATGTAGCATATGAGCGGACATGTTCTTATCAAGTTTGACCTCTCTTTTTCAACAACACATTTACAGCATTTCTGTACCAAAAAAAGCTTAGATCACACAATCACCGACCTGTCTTGGAGTGAATAGCCTGGCTTTCAGTCTCAATGAGGTAATACTTGTTATGAAGTGCTTTGAAAGAGTTTCTTGATAAATAACACAACTTGTACCTGTTGGTCTGGCTCATATTCTACTGCTAGATTCTGTATTCTGTCACAGTCATAATTCAAAATTGCATTGCAAAGTCCTACAGAAATGGAGAATAATGGCAGTGAAGGCACATGTGATGGTTTCACATGCTAGTATTTCTTTAATGCCAAAATGCCTCAATACAAGCCTAGTCAGCCTATTACCAAATATGCTTGTTAATGCACACCACTTATTTCTGTATGAACAATATTATTTCGTTTCCTTGTTGCACCAAATAGGGTAGTCTGGGTTCAGTCCATACCACAATTCTGCATACAGTAAATTCACTGTGAGACTTACTGGCTACAATAACATGTACTTACTATGAATTTAATTACTATGAATTTAATTAAATGAAGAATTCAGTTTTGAGTGAATCTGATTAATGGTGCATAACAGGCAACCAAATAAGTGCTAGCCCGGGCCTGGGCAACTTCATATATTAAGAGTCTTACAGCCAGTTGACTAGATTCTAGAATCCACTACAGAATTACTAGAATCCAGTTGATTAGATTCTACAATCACTAGTATCTATAATGACTAGAGTTCAGTTGACTAGATTTTTGAATCAAGAATCCAGTTGACTAGATTCAGGCCAATCAGGCTGTTTGTTTGACCTTCCCCTGATCCTCCACCTTCCTGATGGCTGCCTGGATGGCTTCCTGGTCTCCCAGGAGCTGCATGGGTTTGGTGGGCCGGAAGTTCTCATCCAGCTCAATCAGAATGGGTGTTCCTGTGGGTAACGTCACGTTGACGATATCAGCATCTGATATACCTGTTGAAATAATAGAGAGAATGTTTGATTTGTAGTGTTCTGCTGCTGTGAACCACAGTAAACAAACAACCCGTGGCATACTATTATGCTATCACCATGAACATAATATAACCATTATGTTAGTACAGCTTTATCCCATGTTGTTATGTAAAGCGCTACCAACATTTCTGATTTCTGTACATGGGCTATCTGAAGTAAGCTTGTCTGAGCGCTCAATAACCAATTAAAACCAAATCAAAATAAACAGATAAGGGAATAACTGTATTATGCGTAACAGACTACTGTAGGTCTATAATGTAGGTCATCTTAAACAAAAATTCCAGCTATATAGCATAGATGATTTATAATATCCCCATTACATAACCGTTTATAAAGTTACAGGGTGACCCAGTGGAGGAGCTAAAAGGTCAATGTGGATCTCATGGCAGTAGTCTGATGTAACATAAACCTAGTGCCCTTTTTGTACAAGTTCAACCTCGTGCCATTTCTGGAACTCATATATATTGCTATAAACCAAATGGGAGTGAATGATAGTTACGAGCTAGGCCTAAAGCATGGAGGGCCTAGCGAACTCCCCTAGAAGGGTGTTTGTGGATTCAAACATTCAAATGCAAGTGAAAGAGAAAGTGGCCATGCAGCTCATACTAATATCTGCAGTAACAAAAGAGAACTAAAAAGAACAATAGCAGTGCATCAAACGTCAATAGTAATAATGGTGCAGATGATGCAGTCGAGCCTAGTGGGTTGCACACACACAAAGTCAATGGCGCCGGAGATGGCTGCCGTTTTACGGGCTCCTAACCAATTGTGCTATTGTGTGTGTTTTCTCACGTTATTTGTAACTTATTTTGTACATAATGTTTCTGCCACCGTCTCTTATGACCGAAAAAGAGCTTCTGGATATCAGGACAGCGATTACTCAACTCATACTGGACGAAGATGTTTTCTTTAACGAGTCGTACGCGAAGGATTTTCTTCAGACACCCGACAAGGCCCAAATCCCTGTCATTTGCATGAGAAAGAGACAGAGATATCGGGGACGTAGGTCGGGGTGCCTTGTAAGGATCCGACGGCGAGTGGGTAATCTGCCTTTACCATCAGTCCTATTAGCCAACCTACAATCATTCGATAACAAAATAGACGAACTACGATCACGGATATCCTACCAACGGGACATTAAAAACTGTAATATGTTATGTTTCACTGAGTCGTGGCTGAACGACGACATGGATAACATACAGCTGGCGGGATATACGCTGCATCGGCAAGATAGAACAGCTGCCTCTGGAAAGACAATAGGTGGTGGTCTGTGTATATTTGTAAACAACAGCTGGTGCACAAAATCTAATATTAAGGAAGTCTCAAGGTTTTGCTCGCCTGAGGTAGAGTATCTCATGATAAGCTGTAGACCACACTATTTACCAAGAGAGTTTTCATCTATATTTTTCGTAACTGTCTATTTACCACCACAAAACGATGCTTGCACTAGGACCGCACTCAATGAGCTGTATAAGGCCATTAGCAAACAGGAAAACGCTCATCCAGAGGCGGGTACTCCGAGCATGCGCTGACCAATTTGCATACCACCCCAACAGATCCACAGATGATGCAATCTCTATTGCACTCCACACCGCCCTTTCCCACCCGGACAAAAGGAACAGAATGCTATTCATTGACTACAGCTCAGCGTTCAACACCATAGTGCCCTCAAAGCTCATCACTAAGCTAAGGACCCTGGGACTAAACGCCTCCCTCTGCAACTGGATCCTGGACTTCCTGATGGGCCGCCCCCAGGTGTTAAGGGTTGGTAACAACACATCTGCAACGCTGATCCTCAACAAGGGGGCCCCTCAGGGGTGCGTGCTCAGTCCCCTCCTGTACTCCCTGTTCACCCATGACTGCATGGCCAGGCACGACTCCAACACCATCATTAAGTTTGCCGACGACACAACAGTGGTAGGCCTGATCACCGACAGCGATGAGACAGCCTATAGGGAGGAGGTCAGAGACCTGGCCGTGTGGTGCCAGGATAACAACCTCTCCCTCAACGTGATCAAGACAAAGGAGATGATTGTGGACTACAGGAAAAAGAGGGCCGAGCACACCCCCATTCTCATCGACGGGGCGTTAGTGGAGCAGGTTGAGAGCTTCAAGTTCCTTGGTGTCCACATCACCAACAAACTATCATGGTCCAAACACACCAAGACAGTCGTGAAGAGGGCACGACAAAGCCCCTCAGGAGACTGAAAAGATTTACATTTTAGTCATTTAGCAGACGCTCTTATCCAGAGCGACTTACAGTTAGTGAATACATATTTTTTTTATACTGGCCCCCCGTGGGAATTGAACCCACAACCCTGGCGTTGCAAACGCCATGCTCTATCAACTGAGCTACATCCCTGCCGGCCATTCCCTCCCCTACCCTGGACGACGCTGGGCCAATTGTGCGCCGCCCATGAGTCTCCCGGTCGCGGCCGGCTGCGACAGAGCCTGGATTCGAACCAGGATCTCTAGTGGTACAGTTAGCACTGCGATGCAGTGCCTTAGACCACTGCGCCACTCAGGAGTTTGGCATGGGTCCTCAGATCCTCAAAAAGTTCCTACAGTTGCACCATCGAGAGTATCCTGACTGGCTGCATCACTGCCTGGTATGGCAACTGCTCGGCCTCCGGCCGCAACGCACTACAGACCAGGCGGTGAGGAAGGCCCTAAAAATTGTCAGACACCAGCCACCCTAGTCATAGACTGTTCTCTCTACTATCGCACGGCAAGCGGTACCGGAGCACCAAGTCTAGGTCCAAAAGGCTTCTTAACAGCTTCTACCCCAAGCCATAAGACTCCTGAACAGCTAATCAAATGGCTACCCAGACTATTTGCATTGTCCCCCCCCACCCCCTATTTTACGCTGCTGCTACTCTGTTTATTATCTATGCATAGTCACTTTAAATCTACCCACATGTACTTATTACCTCCATTACCTCGACTAACCTGTGCCCCCGCACATTGACTCTGTACCAGTACCCCCTGTATATAGCCTCGCTACTGTTATTTTACTGCTGCTCTTTAATAATTTTTTATTTGTATCTATTTTTGACTTAACACTTATTTTTCTTAAAACTGAATTGTTGGTTAAGGGCTTGTAAGTAAGCATTTCACTGTAAGGTCTACACCTGTTGTATTCGGCGCATGTGACAAATAACATTTGATTTGATTTTAAACCAGTTATACCTTGTAAGTGTTTCAGCAGTGCCCTGCAGCTATTCCCATGCCCAGAGATGAGCACCGATTTCCCCTGTTTGATCTCTGGCACAATGGTGCCATCCCAGTATGGCTGGAGCCTCTCTAAGACATCCTTCAGGCTCTCCGACATCGGTAGATCCTCTTTAGAAACATCGCAAGTAGAATACCGCCGGTCGTTGTAGATCTCCAGAAAGTAAGGGTGTGATTTGTCAATAGGCGGTGGCGTGAGGTCGTAACTCCTCCTCCACTGTTTCACCTGCTCCTCACCATGGTTTAGGGCCATCTCGGCGCGGTTGAGCCCGATCAGAGCACCATAATGGCGCTCATTCAGCCTCCACGATTTCACCACTGGGACCCACTCCTGCCCCATGGCCTCTAGCAGCAGCCAGGCTGTGTGGATGGAGCGGCTGAGCAGGGAGGTGAAGACCACATCCAGGTGGTAGCCTGCTTCCCTCAGGAGGTGACCGCACGCCAGGGCCTCCTTGACGCCGTCCTCACTCAGCCTCTGGTCCACCCAGCTGCAGAAGCGGTTCTCTTTGGTCCAGGCCCCTTCTCCATGCCTCATCACAAAGACTTTGTACTTGGACATCCAGAAGGACTGGCTGGCAGCAGGAGCCTGTACTGTACACAAACAAACAATGGGTTGAATTGTAGAAGCTAAGGGTGCAGGTTCAGTTACATAATGCACTGGACTGTTACTGTGGCCAGCTAACATCACACTTAGCACACAACTTAAATAACAATTATTCAACAAGTCTCGAATAAACAACAAGACAAGGTTGTTTTTATTGATCTCAGATTCTCAGTTTGCCTGTGTCAAAGTAGACTGTAATTTCGATAATTTGTGCGGTATCTGCCAAAGTCTCCAGTCATTTTATAAACGCATGAAATTAGTTTATAAAAGGCCCAATTTTTCCCGGACCCTAAGCTACTAAAATGTTTCCCCATGTGTGCAACTTCTGTAAGTGCTTCTACTCTAGCAATTGCGATGATATGCATGCAACGCTTTATTATAAAGGTGGGTTTTTTTTTCTAATGCCTTACGGTACCTCAGAGCTGCCGAGGTCACCCCCGCTCGCGCATACTTTTTGTCACTGCACACACTATTAATTAAGCACTGTTATTAGCTACATGTACACAACTCCGTTTGCTATAAGCCTAATACTTTACTGTTGTTACTATGTAACTCTACTGTTAATAAGCGTGATATCAGAAGCAGAAGCGGTAGCCATCATCAACATGGCTGAGAGGTTTAAGGGGTGGGTCTGGTAGGTCAGTAATTTCAAAGTGGCATGCTACAAACCCACACAACACACGGTTATGTTAACCCAAGTTAAACATAATTGTACAGGGTAATGCTGAAACTAAACAACGAAATGTGGCTTTTACACATTCCCTATGTCGTAATTTAAACGGAATATCTTATTATTACATTATATCAACAGACAATAAAAGCAGCTAGCTGGGATGCCTTGCACTTGTCATCTCATACATTGGTAGCCTACTCTCTGTCCAGAATTCAGATAGCGTGCATGCGTTTTTACGAGGGAATGCTTGTAAGACCGCAAGCTACAAAATGCGGTTCAATAACAATTGTAACGGAAAATGTATAGCATGGATACTATCTTACCCTGCGTGAGTTACAAGTTTGGAGCAATTGTCGTGCAGTCGTGACTGATGACAGAAATGTGTATCACCATCGAGAGCGTTCAAAGGAAGTCCGCGACTGACAGCTTGTGGGCCAATCGAAACGGTAAATCTCACATTTGGGCGGGATTTGTGTAACGTGTGCTGCCCATATGGACGGATGAAAGGAACGGCTCGTGCTGTCTGGAACGGTCATCATGGGGGAAGAAGGCGTGGCATGACACATTTAGCTGCCTACATTTTAACAGTCACTGAATTTGTCTAGACGTTATTAAGTATCTGCTATGTCAATGTTTTGCTTGCGAAGTGGACATACTGTACCATTTTGGCCCAAAACTACAGTTTAAACTGTGGTTGATCCACAATGCAAACAACATGCGCAAGCTCGAACACACGCACATACACACGCACGCACTCACACACTCACACAAACACAGCATTAACTTTGTGGGATGAACTGTGCAGCTGACTGTTGACCATACAAGTGACAATGATAATACAATGTTAATAAGTGCTTTATAACATCTAACATCCAACATTGTGTGTGTTCATACCACATCATATAAATAACATTTCATAACTAATTACATAAAAATAAGACATTATTTCCCATAAAAAATAAGACAATATTTTCTATTGAATGACTAGAATTATCTATCATATGATGTACATGAGGATTTGCATCCATACAAAACACATAACAATGCAAGAGACTCTTACTGTTATATATGTAAAACTATGCAAACTGCGTCTTCCTTGACTGTCATTATGTAAGGTAAACACTGAGCAGTCATATGATTTCATTACTCCGCCCATGACTATTAGGAAGTAGCGAACATCTTCTTCCTGCCCTCCATGCTAGACATGGCGTCCACATGCTTACGCCAGACAGTCACGTCCTCTTTCTATGGGGATAACAACATAGTATAACCAGTTCAGAACTAAGCTAGTGCACACCGAGTTATACATGCAGGTGCATTGTACAACAGGTTATGAAATAAATCATGGGGAGGGGCTGTACTATGTAGTTAGCCTTGTCACATATCTGTTTGTGCTCTTACCAACTCCATTTCTGTCATTATCAAGCCAAACATTTGGCATATTTCCATAAGGAGTTGGCAAAAGAGCAGAAACAGGTTGGCACCCAGGCTACTGAGTAGCGTCTCCTTTCCCTTACCTTCTCCTCCTTTTTGACAGTCTTGAGGTTGGCCTTGAAATCGACAGACTCTTTGACCTTGGCTCCCAGCAGAGCCCCCAACATTGCTTCAGTTGATACTCTCACCCTCTTCAGCTGAGGTCACTTTTTGCCCTTCAGCTCAGTGATCTTCATGGTCAGCTTTTCAATCTATATTGCCACATAGCAAGATTTCAAAATAATGATTGTGAGTGACATTAGACCCGTCACAATAGTCAACTACAGGAGCAGAATTCATTTGTTGTGGTTTAAATATGAAAATTAACTTACCAGCCTGGACAGACAGTAAATTCTAAATAAAGATTAAAAATACACAAGGAGGAAGATGATCATATTCATGTTGTTTTTATAGCTACTATTTCCTGTCAATGTTGACAGCAATGTAAGAAATTGTGATAAGAGACATGGGTACTTAGGCTTCAGACATGGCTGTGGTTATAAGTGTCTCCTGTCAATGAAAAAGGTGAAAAAGTTACAATAGACTAAAATATAGTTTTTTTCTAAACTATGTCACGATATAATAATAATAATAATTGGTCATTTAGCAGACGCTCTTATCCAGAGCGACTTACATGAGCAATTAGGGTTAAGTGCCTTGCTCAAGGGCACATCGACAGATTTTTCACCTAGTCGGCTCGGGGATTAGAACTAGCGACCTTTCGGTTACTGGCACAACGCTCTTAACCACTAAGCTACCTGCCCCATATTATGGACAGTATAAGTTTTGAGCATGCAAAAATGTATTTCAACTTTCTAAAACATTTAACAATCAATAATATGTTGTTGATTTGGATGACATTCATATTAATTCTACCAGGTTATCAATTTACATTTTGGCTTGTTTGTTCAGAACTACAGCAATTGACTGTTATAAAACATATGATGCAACTACAGAAAATGAGATGAGCTAGGAATCATTAAATAATAAATGAACGTCAGTACTGTTAACACAATGAATCTGTCTGACTAGTATTTAGTCTTTATTTAATGTAGTATTTATTCAATTTAGTATTTAGAAACACATCTGACTGGAATTTAGTATTTGGGGCATTTATCAAATACTGCTTTTATGTAGCTTTATAATTTCATTCATGAAGGTCTTCTCCCAAGAGATCTCCTTTGTATTATTGTAGACTTTAGATTGCATAAATTGTACATAGAAATGAAGTTATGAGCTTAAATAGCTTAATTGGTTAGCTATCTTCTGTAACATCTCACAAAATTACGATAGGTAACGCAAATAACAGATAACAATTTTCTGGTCGTTTGATAATTCATTAAAATGTCCAATTGTGAAAATAAATCAATAAAGTTCTGGTCTTACCCGATTGCAATAGATGACAAACTAAAACAATCCTCACGTAAATCAAGTGTACAAACTTCAAATCCACAGTATTTACTACTTCTACTTGACCTCTTTTTGTTGGGGTGACTACTCACACTGACAGCAAGCTACTGTCAAAAAATGAATACTGGAAACTTACCTTTCAGGTGAAGAAAACCTACTGTAATGTTACTAGTTGTCTTTGTGAGGCTGGAGGGATGGAAAGTGGGTAGATATATAGATTCTCGACCTCATGTGAGGTGTTCACTAAAATAGACTCACTGTCCTCACCATTCTTGCTGTGAAATGCTGCACATCCCAATCTCTGGTCTGTGGATGTTTATTATGTGTGACTTTCCACCTGTCTGGTTGTCTGTTCATACACAGTGACCAAAGGGGGACAAACTGGATGAAGTGACTTGATTTCAGTTTAAGTGGTGGTACTTTATATTGTACTACATGTGAGAGTGTAATAAAGTTTATATATATTATATGTGGTGTACACAACTAAGAGCATTTCAGAGAATTTGGTCCGTGTCACATAAATGTACAATGCCATGTAATTTGGAAAATAATAATGATCACACAGATTTCAGTTAACCTTATCTGTATTATAAGAATTGAAAGTTCCCAAGGACTTTAATTTTTTGTTTTGTATACCTGGCAGTGACTGGCACTAAAATAAGTCAGATGTACCTCTGTCAACAATGTTTTAAGTTGCACAAATTCTAAATGAATTTTTTGAACATGTTTTAGTAAGTAAGGAGTACTGCAAGTATTTATATCCTGTATATTGAGAGTGTATTAAAAAGTATTGTCCTGTTGTCCACTTTTGGACTGACACAAGATGAATATCAAAATGTATTGAATCTCGAGCACAGCAATCCATAATGCCCCCATAATCATTTGACAAGCAGTTGAATTTGCACTTGAGTTCAAAAGTTTATTGATTTATTCATTAACAGGTTATACATGTTGAAACACTTGCAACTCTTGATGGGGGATATGCAGATAGTATTCAGACCCCTTGACTTTTTCCACATTTTGTTATGTTACAGCCTTATTCTAAAATTGATTAAATACTTGTTTTCCCTCATCAATCTACACACAGTACCCCATAATGGCAAAGTGAAAACAGGTTTTTATTTTTTTGTGCAAATGTATACAAAATATTCAGACCCTTTGCTATGAGACTCGAAATTGATCTCAGGTGCATCCTGTTTCCATTGATCATCCTTGAGATGTTTCTACAACTTGATTGGAGTCCACCTGTGGTAAATTCAATTGATTGGACATGATTTGGAAAGGCACACACCTGCATGTCAGAGCAAAAACCAAGCCATGAGGTCGAAGGAATTGTCCGTAGAGCACCGAGACAGGATTGTGTCAAGGCACAGATCTGGGGAAGGGTACCAAAACATTTCTGCAGAAATGAAGGTCCCAAAGAACACAGTGGCCTCCATCATTCTTAAATGGAAGAAGTTTGGAACAACCAAGACTCTTCCTAGAGCTGGTTGCCTGGCCAAACTGAGCAATCGGGGGAGAAGAGTCTTGCTCAGGGAGGTGACCAAGAACCCGATGGTCACTCTGACAGAGCACCAGAGTTCCTCTGTGGAGATGGGAGAAACTTCCAGAAGGACAACCATCTCTGCAGCACTCCACCAATCAGGCCTTTATGGTAGAGTGGCCAGATGGAAGCCACTCCTCAGTGAAAGGCACTTGACAGCCCGCTAAGAGTTTGCCAAAAGGCACCTAAAGACTCTCAGACCATGAGAAACAAGATTCTCTGGTCTGATGAAACCAAGACTGAACTCTTTGGCCTGAATGCCAAGTGTCACTTCTGGAGGAAACATGGCAGCATCGCTACGGTGAAGGATGGTGGTGCCAGCATCATGCTGTGGGGATGTTTTTCAGCGGCAGGGACTGGGAGACTAGTCAGGATCGAGGGAAAGATGAACAGAGCAAAGTACAGAGAGATCATTGATGAAAACCTGCTCCAGAGCACTCAGGACCTCAAACTGGGGTGAAGGTTTACCTTCCAAAAGGATAACGACCCTAAGTACACAACCAGGACAACGCAGGAGTGGCTTCGGGACAAGTCTCTGAATGTCCTTGAGTGGCCCAGCCAGAGCCCGGACTTGAACCCGATCTAACTTCTCTGGAGAGACCTGAAAATAGCTGTGCAGTGACGCTCCTCATCCAACCTGACAGAGCTTGAGAGGATCTGCAGAGAAGAATGGGAGAAACTCCCCAAATACAGGTGTGCCAAGCTTTTAGCATCATACCCAAGAAGACTCGAGGCTGTAATCGCTGCTAAAGGTGCTTCAACAAAGTACTGAGTAAAGGGTCTGAATACTTATGTTAATATGATATTTCCGTTTTTGCTTTGTCATTATGGGGTATTGTGTGTAGATTGATGAGGGATTATTTTTTTTAATTCAATTTTAGAATAAGGCTGTAACTTAACAAAATGTGGGAAATGTGAAGGGGTCTGAATACTTTCCGAATGCGCTGTTGTATCAATAACATAGGGCAAAAGCAGCCAAGAGAACCAAGCCAATTTTCTCTGACCTAAAGCTAACACTGCTATCAAACAAGAAACTGAACTTGAAATACTCAAACATTTTTTTTATTGGTAACTTCTGCATACAGGCGTTGCAAATAAAGAAATGCATTTGCTCAAACACAAAATATATTGGAATAACACTTAATAAAAACGTATATTACGTTTATTGTACATAAACTATTTGTATTTGCTTCAACATTCTCATATTGTCATTTCAATTAAAAAGTTGATTTCACGTACAAAAAGGAACAAATATATTTATTAACTTTTTCTTTCTTCTCCATGTGTTCATTCAGTTGTCTCTTACAGTTATTCTTGATACCTTCAGTTGTCCTCTCCTTTTCTGTTGTCCTTGATAATCATCACTAATCTGCAAAACATTTCATATACCAAAGTAAACAGATGTTCTATGTTTCAGCAATATGTTGTCTACAGGAATTGATCTTCTCAGTACATGCAATGTTTTGTGTACCTTATCAAGCATCAAACATCTTCTTTCTGCCCTCCATGCCTGACATGGCGTCCACGTTTTGACGCCAGTCGGTGACCTCCTCTTTCTGTGGGGACCAGAAATGTATCATTGACACTCAATCAGTCATTGACAAACAAACTAGCTTAAGAATAAACAACAAGTACATAATTTGGCTTAGAGATGAAGAGGTTCTTAGATTTCAACTGTCTGTGATAGTACCTAAATATAACAAGAAAAAGCAAGCAGACATCTTGACAAAGTACAGCGGACTGAGCATGCACCAGTTTTACCTTTTCCTCTGCTTTCTTGACTGTCTTGAGGTTGGACTTGAAGTCGATTGTCTCCTTGTGCTTGGAGCCCAGCAGAACACTGAGCATCATCTCAGCTGAGATCTTCACCTTCTTCAGGGTTGGCTTCTTGAACTTGCTCTGCAGCTCAATGATCTTCAGCCCCAACTCATGGCTCTGGCAGAGCACAGAGAACAGAGGACATTATAACTTTCAGCCACAGTACAGGCTCTCACATTTACTGACCATTGGCTGCGTCCCAAATGGCACCCTATTCACTTGATAGTGCACAAATGTTGACCAGGGCCCATAGGGCTTTGGTCCAAAGTAGTGCACTGTATAGGGAATAGAGTGCCATTTGAGACAGACGCTTAGTCCTCCCAGTTGTACTGCAACTAGTATGTACTGTGGCTGACGTTCACTCTTAGTTCATGTTGTGAACTCATAGCCACTGGGAGGCAGTGTTTTGTATTATCAAAGACAGTACAGTATGAAGATAGAAATAGAAATCCCCGATCACGCTTGTAGGTATACTGCACATCGACAAATCAAAGACACTCCTTCGATATAAAGTTGTTTTTGACGAAAATGAAAATGTGTCAGTTTGTCACTTTCACGAGGTTGGAGTAATAACATGTTTAGCTACGCAAGACATTGGCTTGAATCTAGGTTGTGCCTTTAGATTTCGAGAACATTAACAACTGAGGAATAATATTTCACTTCTCTCATTGACTTCTCAAACCCCAAACTCTGGCCTGGTCTGCCGAGTCTGCTTCACTTGAGTACAAGTATTTGGTTTTAAATATATTTAAGTAACTGCAAAAATATACTTAAGTATCAAAAGTAAAGTAAAAGTATAAATCATTTGAATTCGCTTACATTAAGTAAACCAAAAGACACAATGCTCTTGTTTTAAAAAAATCGACAGATTGCCAGGGGCACACTCCAACACTCAGACATAATTTACAAATGAAGCATTTGTGTCAGTCTGCCAGATCAGTGGCAGTAGGGATGACTAGGGATGTTCTCTTGATACAGTTGAAGTCGGAAGTTTACATACACTTAGGTTGGAGTCATTAAAACTCATTTTTCAACTTCTCCACAAATTTCTTGTTAACAAACTATTGTTTTGGCAAGTCGGTTAGGACATCAACTTTGTGCATGACACAAGTAATTTTTCCAACAATTGTTTACAGACAGATTATTTCACTTATAATTCACTGTATCACAATTCCAGCGGGTCAGAAGTTTACATACACTAAGTTGACTGTGCCTTTAAACAGCTTGGAAAATTCCAGAAAATGATGTCATGGTTTTAGAAGCTTCTGATAGGCTAATTGACATCATTTGAGTCAATTGGAGGTGTACCTGTGGATGTATTTCAAGGCCTTCCTTCAAACTCAGTGCCTCTTTGCTTGACCTCATGGGAAAATCTAAAGAAATCAGCCAAGACCTCAGAAAATTATTGTAGACCTCCACAAGTCTGGTTCATCCTTGGGAGCAATTTCCAAACGCCTGAGGGTACCACGTTCATCTGTACAAACAATAGTATGCAAAAAAGAATGGGGGGGGGGGGGGAAATACACTTCTCCCATGGGCAAAGAAATTCAAAAGGGGTGATGATATTAATTAATAGTAATTTCGATCCGAATGTGCAAATTGTCAAAATAGATACGCAAGGTAGATGGATTATTTTAAATATGTTATTGGACCATAAACAGATATGGCTCATTAACCTTTACGGACCAAATAATGATGATCCACAATTCTTTGACAATATATATAATAAATTATCAAGCCTGCAAGCAATTCAAGACAATATTATTATGGTGGGGGATTATAATACTGTTTTAAATAGCTCAATGGACCGTAAAGGAAATCACACCACAAACAATCACCCACATGCTCTTAAGGAAATTGTGAATGTCATGGATACATTAGAACTAGTAGATATATGGAGGCTTAAATATACTGATCTAGTGAGATATACATGGCGGAGACTGAATCAAGCTAGTCGTCTTGACTTCTTTCTTATCTCATTCTCGTTGGCACCAAAAGTAAAAAAAGTGTTGATAGGGGACAGAATGCGGTCGGACCATCATATAATAGGCATATACATTACTCTTACTGAATTTCCACGTGGGCGAGGATATTGGAAATTTAATCAAAGCCTATTGGATGATAATTTATTTATAATTAGAACAAAGGAATTTATAACTGACTTTTTCCAACATAACATAGGAATCCCCTTATTGTATGGGACACCTTTAAATGTGCCTTTAGAGGCCATGCAATTTCATTACTCATCTCGAAAACAAAAGCAATTTAGGTCAAAAGAGTTTATACTAAGAAAGGAAATAGAAAGTCTAACAGAACAGATAGATGGCAATAAAAACTGTAACATAGAGGCTCAGAATAAATTAGAGGAAAAACTAAAAGAAATGGAGAAACTTATTCAAGAAAGATCAAGTGTAATATATTATAAAAATAAAGCAAACTGGATGGAATATGGGGAAAAATGCACAAAATTCTTTTTTAATCTTCAACATAGGAATGCTACCAAAAATAACTTAATGAAACTGGTTACAATTGACGGAGTCACCCATAATTCACCAAATGATATTTTGAAGGAAGAAACAAAGTACTTTAAGCATATGTTTTCTTTTCAGTCGCCTCCATCTCCTCTAACTGAAGCTAATTGTAGAGATTTTTTTTCTATTGATAATGTCAAATTAACAGCCACACAGAAAGACTCATGTGAAGGTGAAATTACAGAGGAGGAACTTCTGGATGCAATTAAAGACTTTAAGTCTGGGAAAACTCCAGGGTTGGATGGCATAGCAGTCGAGGTATACCAAACCTTTTTTGATATACTAAGAGGACCGTTATTAGCATGTTTTAACCACTCCTATGTAAATGGTAGATTATCTGACACTCAAGAAGAAGGTCTGATCTCATTATTACTGAAACAGGATACAAGTGGAAAATATAAAGATCCAGTCCATTTACAAAATTGGAGGCCCCTTACACTTCAGTGTTGTGATGCAAAAATCCTAGTAAAATGTATAGCGCATAGAATTAAAAAGGTATTGTCTGATATTATTCATTCTAATCAGACAGGTTTTTTACATGGAAGATACATTGGAGATAATATAAGGCAAGTATTGGAAACAATAGAACACTATGGAAAATATGGGAAACCAGGCCTGCTATTCATAGCAGACTTCGAAAAGGCATTTGATAAAGTTCGACTGGGGTTTATATATAAATGCCTGGAGCATTTCAATTTTGGAGAATCTCTTATAAAATGGGTCAAAATCATGTATAGTAACCCTAGGTGTAAAATAGTAAATAATGGCTATTTCTCAGAAAGTTTTAAACTGTCAAGAGGAGTGAAACAAGGTTGTCCACTATCGGCATATCTATTTATTGTGGCCATCGACATGTTAGCTATTAAAATCAGATCCAATAATAATATCAGAGGATTAGAAATACAGGGCTTAAAAACAAAGGTGTCATTGTATGCTGATGATTCATGTTTTCTTTTAAATCCACAACTAGAATCCCTCCACAGCCTCATAGAGGATCTAGATACATTTTCTAACCTCTCTGGATTACAACCAAATTATGACAAATGTACTATATTACGTATTGGATCACTAAAAAATACAATTTTTACATTACCATGTAGTTTACCAATAAAATGGTCTGATGGTGATGTGGATATACTCGGAATACAGTGGGGGAAAAAAGTATTTAGTCAGCCACCAATTGTGCAAGTTCTCCCACTTAAAAAGATGAGAGAGGCCTGTAATTTTCATCATAGGTACACGTCAACTATGACAGACAAAATGAGAAAAAAAAATCCAGAAAATCACATTGTAGGATTTTTTATGAATTTATTTGCAGATTATGGTGGAAAATAAGTATTTGGTCAATAACAAAAGTTTCTCAATACTTTGTTATATACCCTTTGTTGGCAATGACACAGGTCAAACGTTTTCTGTAAGTCTTCACAAGGTTTTCACACACTGTTGCTGGTATTTTGGACCATTCCTCCATGCAGATCTCCTCTAGAGCAGTGATGTTTTGGGGCTGTCGCTGGGCAACACAGACTTTCAACTCCCTCCAAAGATTTTCTATGGGGTTGAGATCTGGAGACTGGCTAGGCCACTCCAGGACCTTGAAATGCTTCTTACGAAGCCACTCCTTCGTTGCCCGGGCGGTGTGTTTGGGATCATTGTCATGCTGAAAGACCCAGCCACGTTTCATCTTCAATGCCCTTGCTGATGGAAGGAGGTTTTCACTCAAAATCTCACGATACATGGCCCGATTCATTCTTTCCTTTACACGGATCAGTCGTCCTGGTCCCTTTGCAGAAAAACAGCCCCAAAGCATGATTTTCCCACCCCCATGCTTCACAGTAGGTATGGTGTTCTTTGGATGCAACTCAGCATTCTTTGTCCTCCAAACACGACGAGTTGAGTTTTTACCAATAAGTTATATTTTGGTTTCATCTGACCATATGACATTCTCCGAATCCTCTTATGGATCATCCAAATGCACTCTAGCAAACTTCAGACGGGCCTGGACATGTACTGGCTTAAGCAGGGGGACACGTCTGGCACTGCAGGATTTGAGTCCCTGGCGGCGTAGTGTGTTACTGATGGTAGGCTTTGTTACTTTGGTCCCAGCTCTCTGCAGGTCATTCACTAGGTCCCCCCATGTGGTTCTGGGATTTTTGCTCACCGTTCTTGTGATCATTTTGACCCCACGGGGTGAGATCTTGCGTGGAGCCCCAAATCGAGGGAGATTATCAGTGGTCTTGTATGTCTTCCATTTCCTAATAATTGCTCCCACAGTTGATTTCTTCAAACCAAGCTGCTTACCTATTGCAGATTCAGTCTTCCCAGCCTGGTGCAGGTCTACAATTTTGTTTCTGGTGTCCTTTGACAGCTCTTTGGTCTTGGCCATAGTGGAGTTTGGAGTGTGACTGTTTGAGGTTGTGGACAGGTGTCTTTTATAGTGATAACAAGTTCAAACAGGTGCCATTAATAGAGGTAACGAGTTGAGGACAGAGGAGCCTCTTAAAGAAGAAGTTACAGGTCTGTGAGAGCCAGAAATATTGCTTGTTTGTAGGTGACCAAATACTTATTTTCCACCATAATTTGCAAATAAATTCATTAAAAATCCTACAATGTGATTTTCTGGATTTTTTTTTCTCAATTTGTCTGTCATAGTTGACGTGTACCTATGATGAAAATTACAGGCCTCTCTCATCTTTTTAAGTTGGAGAACTTGCACAATTGGTGGCTGACTAAATACTTTTTTCCCCACTGTACATATCCCAAAGGAAATAAATTATCTCACTTCAATAAATCTTAATAGAAAGTTAGCAAAAATAGATAACATCTTACTACCATGGAAAGGAAAATACCTGTCAATTTGTGGAAAAATCACCCTGATTAACTCTTTAGTATTATCCCAGTTTACCTATTTGCTTATGGTCTTGCCTACGCCTAGCGAACAGTTTTTTAAATTATATGAGAAAAAAATATTCAATTTTATTTGGAACGGCAAGCCAGACAAAATTAAAAGGGCATATTTATATAATGAATATGAATTCGGAGGACAGAAATTATTAAATATTAAAGCATTAGACCTATCACTAAAAGCTTCAGTCATACAAAAGTTATACTTAAATCCGAACTGGTTCTCAAGCAAATTAGTAAGATTGTCTCACCCAATGTTCAAGAAAGGCCTTTTTCCCTTTATTCAGATTACAACAACTAATTTGCAGTTATTTGAAAAGGAAATCATCTCCCAAATATCACTATTTCTAAAACAAGCCATAGAAAGTTGGTTGCAATTTCAATTTAATCCTCCAGAAATGACAGAACAAATAATGCAACAAATATTGTGGTTAAATTCAAATATACTAATTGACAAAAAACCTTTATTTTTTGACAGAATGTTTAAAAAAGGTATAATCTTCATAAATGATATCATCGGTAGGACTGGTGGAGTTATGTCGCACATGCAGCTAACAAAAACATATGGAAATGTCTGCTCTACCCAAAATTACAACCAAATAATTGCAGCCTTACCGCAAAAGTGGAAGAGGAAAGTGGAAGGGGGAGAAAGTAAGGAACTTGTCTGTCGGCCTTGCATTAAAGAACATAATTGGTTAAGGAAAACTGTGATAAATAAAAAAGTATATCAGTTTCACTTAAGGACCAAAGAATTGACAGCCGTCCCATATAGATTGCAAAATTGTTGGGAAGAGATCTTTGACGTACCGATCCCATGGCATAGTGTTTATGAACTGACACGCAAAACGACACCGGATTCAAAAATGTGAATCTTTCAATTTAAATTATTATATAAAATGTTTGCTACCAATAGAATGTTATTTATATGGGGGATAAAATCTAACCAGCTCTGCAGATTTTGCTGTGAAGAGACAGAATCATTAGATCATTTGTTTTGGTTCTGTCCATTTGTAGCTTGTTTTTGGACACAGGTCCAGGAATGGCTAAATGATTGCAATATTTACCTGGAGCTAACCTTGCAGATAGCATTACTGGGTGATCTGAAAAGTCATAGTCAATCGATCAATAATATAATAATACTTTTAGCAAAAATGTTTATTTTTTATTCACAATCTGTAGAAGCAATGAGAATAGAAAGGTTCAGAACTTTTGTAAAACATCACAGTACGGTTGAAATATATATGGCAAATAGAAATCCTATATGGATGGTGTTAAGAGATAGATGGGAGGTATTGAATATAGTTGAAGGATGGGGCTAATAACAAATAACAACAAATAATAACAAAGATAGCTAATAATGTAAGCATACTGTGTCCATAATAAGTATATAGGTTGTATGTTGGGAGCTTTTGGGAAAGAGCACAGTTAGAAAGATATGGCATATAGAAGCAAACCGGATGGACATCATGAAAATAATCGGAGAGGTTGAGAGTAGAAGAAGTTCAGGAGCAAAAAAATAATAATATATATATATATATATATATAAAATTAACTGTGTCCATAAGGTGTAGATAGTAAGTATAGACCGGAAGTAGAGGCCTGGGCATTGTTGTTCACTAATTTACTCCAAGTAGGGAAAGGATGGCAGGGTTGAAAAGTAATAAAGGGGAGTATATATATAAAAAACATGGGGGATTGGAAGTGATGCAGACAATTACATTGATAGAAGTTACAATCTATCTGCAATATTAAGCTGATCCATCCCCCCAAAAAAGGAAAATAAAAATAAAATAATTATTTTTTTTTAAAGATGAAAAAAACAAAAACAAAAAAAATTGTATGCTAGTATAAACACCATGGGACCACGCTGCCGTCATACCGCTCAGGAAGGAGACGCGTTCTGTCTCCTAGAGATGAATGTACTTTGGTGCGAAAAGTGCAAATCAATCCCAGAACAACAGCAAAGGACCTTGTTAAGATGCTGGAGGAAACAGGTACAAAATTATCTATATCCACAGTAAAACGAGTCCTATGTCGATACATAACCTGAAAGGCTGCTCAGCAAGGAAGAAGCCACTTCTCCAAAACCGCCATAAAAAAGCCAGACTACGGTTTGCAACTGCACATGGGGACAAAGATCGTACTTTTTGGAGAAATGTCCTCTGGTCTGATGAAACAAAAATAGAACTGTTTGGCCATAATGACCATCATTATGTTTGGAGGAAAAAGGGGAAGGCTTGCAAGCCGAAGAACACCATCCCAACCGTGAAGCACGGGGGTGGCAGCATCATGCTGTGGGGGTGTTTTGCTGCAGGAGGGACTGGTGCACTTCACAAAATAGATGGCATCATGAGGAAGGAAAATTATGTGAATATATTGAAGCAACATCTCAAGACTTCAGTCAGGAAGTTAAAGCTTGGTCGCAAATGGGTCTTCCAAATGGACAATGGCCCCAAGCATACTTCCAAAGTTGAGGCCTACAAACCTGACTCAGTTACACCAGCTCTGTCAGGAGGAATTGGCCAAAATTGGAAGCTTGTGGAAGGCTACCCAAAACGTTTGACCCACGTTAAACAATTTAAAGGCAATGCTACCAAATACTAATTGACTGTATGTAAACTTCTGACCCACTGGGAATGTGATGAAAGAAATAAAAGCTGAAATAAATCATTCTCTCTACTATTATTCTGACATTTCACATTCTTAAAATAAAGTGGTGATCTTAACTGACCTAAGACAGGGAATTCTTACTAGGATTAAATGTCAGGAATTGTGAAAAACTGAGTTTAAATGTATTTGGGTAAGGTGTATGTAAACTTCTGACTTCTACTGTAAGTGTGTGAATCGTACCATTTTCCTGTCCTGCTAAGCATTCAAAATGTAACGTGTACTTTTTGGGTGCCAGGGAAATGCATGGAGTAAAAAGTACATTTTTGTCTTCAGGAATGTAATGAAGTAAAAATATAAGTTGTCAAAAATATAAATAGTAAAGTAAAGTACAGATACCACCCAAAAAACGAATTAAGTAGTACTTAAAATTATTTTTATTTAATACTTTACACCCCTGATCTTTTGTCATTTCCCTCTGCAATTATTAGTTTTCTACAAATTTATTTTTGAGTATCCTACCTCCTTGTCATTTTTCATAACTTTGAGTGCCACGTCGTATCGCTCCTCATCTACCACGTCGATCTTATGGTACAGATCTTTGCACAAATCCTGCCAAGAGAACAAAAGACAGCTAATTTATCTTTTTTTTTTTTTACACTTTCTGTAAAGAATTTAAACTGTGTCGTGTATTATAATGCATTATGCACACCTCACATGGCTAGATAAATGCACTCAGTATTGTTTGCAATATCAATGTGAGTATCAGTCTGTATACCTAAGTCTATATCCAGGTCTGTCTTGAAAAATAGATTTTTATCTCAACGAGACCAACCTGGTTAAACAAAGTACATATATTTTAATCCCTTATTTTACTGAGAAAACATTCTCATCTACAGCAACAACCTGGGGAGTAGTTACAGGGGACAGGAATGAGCCAATTGAAAGCTGGGGATAATTAGGTGGCCAGATTGGGAATTTAGCCATGACACCGGAGTTAACACCCCTTCTCTTACAATAAGTGCCTTGGGATCTTCAGTGACCACCGAGAATCAGGACACCTGTTTTAACATCCCATCTGAAAGACAGCACCCTACATAGGGCAGATATGTTTTTTAGACCAGAGGAAACAGTGCCTCCTACTGGCCCTCCAACACCACTTGAAGCAGTATCTGGTCTCCCATCCAGGACTAACCCTGCTTAGCTTCAAGAGGAAAGCCAGTAGTGGGATGCAGGGTGGTATGCTGCTGGCAGGCTTAATCTTAAATAAATAATACCATGAGCTCATCAACAGACAAGCCAGAAAGTTTGAGAGGAGGGACTCTCTCTGCCAGAGCTTCTTCTCTTTCTCTCTTCTTCTCCTCTGTCTCAACCTCTAGCATCTGGCCAGCTACAGTCAGCAATCTGATCTGTAAGAAGGAAACATAAAGCTACAGTCAGCAATCTGATCTGTAAGAAGGAAACATAAAGCTACAGTCAGCAATCTGATCTGTAAGAAGGAAACATAAAGCTACAGTCAGCAATCTGATCTATAAGGAGGAAACATAAAGCTACAGTCAGCAATCTGATCTACAGGAAGGAAATAAAGCTACAGTCAGCAATCTGATCTACAGGAAGGAAACATAAAGCTACAGTCAGCAATCTGATCTATAGGAAGGAAACATAAAGCTACAGTCAGCAATATGATCTACAGGAAGGAAACATAAAGCTACAGTCAGCAATCTGATCTATAGGAAGGAAACATAAAGCTACCACATGAGGTTGGTGGCACCTTAATTGGAGAGAAAGGGCTCGTGGTAATGGCTGGAGCGGAATGAGTGGAATTGTATCAAACACATGGTTTCTATGTGTTTGATTCCATTCAATTCGCTCATTCCAGTCATTATTATGATCTGTCCTCCACTCAGCAGTTTCCACTGAAAACTGCAGTGATCAATCTGATCTATAGGAAGTATAAAGCTACAGTCAGCAATCTGATCTATAGGAAGCATAAAGCTACAGTCAGCAATCTGATCTATACGAGCACAAACATCCAAAGGAATGTAAACATAGGTTCAAAAGATCACAAGAGGTCGGGGTTCATGACCTACACATGAGCTACACATTATGACATGCATTCTGTTTATATCAGTGGAGGCTGCTGAGGGGAGGACGGCTCATAATAATGGCTGGAATGGAGTCAGTGGAATGGTATCAAACACATCAAAGACGTGGTTTCCATGTGGTTGATGCCATTCCATTGACTCCATTCCAGCCATTATTATGAGCCTTCCTCCCCTCAGCAACCTCCACTGGTTTATATACTGTTCATATCTCAAGTGTAAGACTACATCTTTGTTTCTTGTGTTGACCATGGACGTCAACGCTCACCTTCAACCCCAATCGTCGGGCTGAGGAGATCTTGGACTTTTCTTTTGGTTTCGGTCTGTGTCAGCGTTAAATGACAGAGGGGGAGAAATAGAGAACATAGAAATGTGCTATTCTGTCATATGATGTGGTTAATCTTTCAAATGCACACGTAAACATGAATACTTACGCATCCGCCATGTTTGCCTTCTTGTCTTAGCCCTGAAATTTGGATAGAGAAAAAGTTATCATTTTCGCCCCCCACACAAAAAATTATCAAAAATATATATTTTTTTGAATAATCGTAATTATCAACAACAACCAAATGTATTAAGTTGAAAAATGTAGTGTATCTTTCACTTATTGAGCTGTTGCCAATGCTGAAGATGGGGATTGATGACTGGTTAAATCCTTGTTTGGGTCAGTTATGTCACTCACTCAGTGCATGTGTTGTCTCATTTAAGCTCTTTTAGATCATTTCATGTGCACTGCTGGTTAAGCCTGTGTCCAAGTCCAATAGAGGCCTGTGTCCATACTTGATTTTATTGTAAAGCATTTTAATTGTGTACAGTATAAGTATGTAAGATAGAAGAGGGCTCTTGTTATTTGAAGCTCACAGGATGTGATTGCAAAGGTCACCATTAAATTGTAAAGAAAACATGGGAAATGAATACAGCTGCTCTTTCCATGACATGACCAGGTGAATCCAGGTGAAAGCTATGATCCCTTATTGATCACTTGTTAAATCCACTCCAATCCGTGTAAATGAAGGGGAGGAGTCAAGTTAAAGAAGGATTTTTAAGCCTTGAGACAATTGAGACATGGTGTATGTGTGCCATTCAGAGGGTGAATGGGCAAGACAAAGTGCCTTTGAAAGGGGTATGGTAGTAGGTGCCAGGCGCAGCGGTTTGTGTCAAGAACTGCAATGCTGCTGGGTTTTTCACACTCAACAGTATCCCATGTGTATCAAGAATGGTCCACCACCCAAAGGACATCCAGCCAACTAGACAACTGTGGAAAGCATTGACGCTTGGCATTCAGGCCAAAGAGTTCAATCTTGGTTTCATCAGACCAGAGAATCTTTGTTGTTTCATGGTCTGAGAGTACTTTAGGTGCCTTTTGGCAAACTCCAAGTGGGCTGTCATGTGTCTTTTACTGAGGAGTGGCTTCCATCTCGCCACTCTACCATAAAGACCTGATTGGTGGAGTGCTGCAGAGATGGTTGTCATTCTGGAAGGTTCTCCCATCTCCACAGAGGAACTCTGGAGCTCTGTCAGTGTGACCATCAGGTTCTTGGTCAACCAGTGCAGTAATATTTAACAACTGATATCTAACAATTTCACAACATATACCAAATACACACAAATCTAAGTAAGGAATGGAATTAAGAATATATACATATATGGACGAGCAATGACAGAGCGGCATGGACTAAGATACAGTAGAATAGTATAGAATACAGTATATATATATATATATATATATATATATATATATATATATATATATATATATATGACATGAGTAATGCAAGATATGTAAACATTATTAAAGTGACTAGTGTTCCATTTCTTAAAGTGGCCAGTGAATTCTAGTCTATGTCTATAGGCAGCAGCCTCTAATGTGCTAGTGATGGCTGTTCAACAGTCTGATGGCCTTGAGAGAGAAGCAGCTTTTCAGTCTCTCGAACCCAGCTTTGATGCACCTGTACTGACCTCGCCTTCTGGATGATAGCGGGGTGAACAGGCAGTGGCTCAGGTGGTTGATGTCCTTGATGATCTTTTTGACCTTCCTTTGACATTGGGTGCTGTAGGTGTCCTGGAGGGTGGGTAGTTTGCCCCCGGTAATGCGTTGGGCAGACAGTACCACCCTCTGGAGAGCCCTGCTGTTGCGGGCGGTGCAGTTGCCGTACCAGGCGGTGATACAGCCCGACAGGATGCTCTCAATTGTGCATCTGTAAAAGTTTGTTTTGTTTTAGGTGCCAAGCCAAATTTCTTCAGCCTCCTAAGGTTGAAGAGGCTCTGTTGCGCCTTCTTCACCACACTGTCTGCATGGGTGGACCATTTCAGTTTGTCAGTGATGTGTATGCCAAGGAACTTGAAGATTTTCACCTTTTCCACTCCGGTCCCGTCGATGTGGATAGGGGGGTGCACCCTCTGCTGTTTCCTGAAGTCCACGATCATCTCCTTCATTTTGTTGACGTTGAGTGAGACATTATTTTCCTGGCACCACACTCCCAGAGCCCTCACCTCCTCCATGTAGGCTGTCGCGTTATTGTTGGTAATCAAGCCTGCTACTGTTGTGTCGTCTGCAAACTTGATGACTGAGTTGGAGGCGTGCGTGGCCATGCAGTCATGGGTGAACCTGACAGGCCACCTGGGGGCTGCCCGTCAGGACGTCCAGGACCCAGTTGCACAGGGCAGGGTTCAGACCCAGGGCCTCGAGCTCAATGATGAGCTTAGAGGGTACTATGGTGTTGAATGCTGAGCTATAGTGAATGAACAGCATTCTTACATAGGTATTCCTCTTGTCTAGATGGGATAGGGCAGTGTGCAGTGTGATGGCGATTGCATTGTCTGTGGATCTTTTGGGGTGGTAAGCAAATTGAAGTGGGTCTAGGGTGACAGGTAAGGTAGAGGTGATATGATCCTTGACTAGTCTCTCAAGCACTTCATGATGACAGAGGTGAGTGCTACGGGGCGATAGTCATTTCGTTCAGTTACCTTTGCTTTCTTGGATACAGGAACAGTGGTGGCCATCTTGAAGCATGACTGGGATAGGGAGAGATTGAATATGTCCATAAACACACTAGCCAGCTGGTCTGCGCATGCTCTGAGGAAGCGGCTAGGAATGCCGTCTGGGCCGGCACCTTGCGAGGATTAACACTCTTAAATGTCTTACTCACGTCGGACACGGAGAAGGAGAGGCCACAGTCCTTGATAGTGGGCCGCGTTGGTGGCACTGTGTTATCCTCAAAGCGGGCGAAGAAGGTGTTTAGCTTGTCCGGAAGGAAGACGTCGGTGTCGGCGACGTGGCTGGTTTTCCTTTTGTAGTCCGTGATTGTCTGTAGACCCTGCCACATACGTCTCGTGTCTGAGCCGTTGAATTGCGACTCCACTTTGTCTCTATACTGACGTTTTGCCTGTTGGATTGCCTTGTGGAGTGAATAGCTACACTGTTCATATTCTGCCATATTCCCAGTCACCTTGCCATGGTTAAATGCGATCGTCCGCGCTTTCAGTTTTGCGTGAATGCTACCATCTATCCACGATTTCTGGTTGGGGTAGGTTTTAATAGTCACAGTGGGCACAACATCTCCTATACACTTCCTGATAAACTCAGTCACCGTTTCAGTGTATTCGTCTAAATTATTTTCGCAAGCTACCCGGAACAAATCCCAGTCCGCATGATCAAAACAATCTTGAAGCATGGATTCCGATAGGTCAGACCAGCATTGACTAGTCCTTAGCACGGGTACTTCCTTTTTGAGTTTCTGCCTATTGGAATGGAGTCGTGGTCAGATTTGCCGAAAGGAGGGCGGGGCCTTGTAAGCATCCCAGAAGTTTGAATAGCAATGGTCTAGTGTTTTAGCAGCGAGAGTACAACAGACGATTGAACTTCGGCAGCCTAGTCCTCAAATTAGCTTTGTTAAAATCCCCAACTACAATTAATGCAGCCTCAGGATATGTGGTTTCCAGTTTGCATAAAGTCCAGTAAAGTTCTTTGAGGGCCGTCGTGGTATCGGCTTGAGGGGGATATAAACTGCCGTGGCTATAACCGAGAAATTATCTTGGGAGATAATACGGTCGGCAATTGATTGTGAGGTATTCTAGGTCGGGTGAACAAAATAACTTGAGCTCCTGTATGTTACTACAATGACACCATAAGTCGTTAATCATGAAACACACACCTCCGTCCTTCTGCTTCCCGGAGAGATATTTATTTCTGTCCGATGAACTGAGAACCCATCTGGCTGGATCGATTTCGACAGAATATCCCGAGAGAGCCATGTGTCTGTGAAACAAAGTATGTTACA